CATATTAGGTTTTTCCTATTTATACAAATTTGCTTGGCATATTAGATAGTTCCTATCCGTACAAATCTGCTTGGCGTACTTGCATGACTGAACTTTCCACTCAAAGAAATCTACTGCTTCTTATACTAATTCATCACTATTAACACTATTTTGCGTTTAACGTTGTGGTTGTTATTACATAAAACTGTAACTTTCTTTTGAGTATTTATAAAGTAGCTGTTAAACCATAACTCTTAACTTAAATTATCGTGTGTAATTTCTTTTCAATTTTATGTCTATATGGCATTATTTATTACAGTTCTAAAGTAATTAAAAGTCTTGAGGAAAATTCAATGACAAATTTGTGATTTTGTTTATTTCATCGAATATTGTGAAAACAATAAGCTTAAACAGAAAAATAAAACATCCGCCTATCTTCTACTTTTTTTTACATAAAAAACAAATCTCTATAATACAGTATATACATTCGTGTAAGGTTTGTCTTTGTTGAGAAACTCCAGATATAACACTCCCTAGTTTTTTTTTGCGACTTTTGTGACAAGGCTAATTTTGCGTACTCTTATATTTCTAAAGTAAATATTGCGAAAGTTAAATAGCAAAGCAAACATACAAGCATTTCAAGAGAACAACTTGGGCCCACTCGAACAAACGGGTATGTACATGAGCCATTTTCTGAGTTAACAAAAAAACCGACCAAGGATTTCCATCCTCTTCCCTCGAAACTACAGTTTCAGTCAGCGTAGTAAGAGCAAAAAAGTTTATTAGAACAAATACTCAATATAAAACATTGTTTATTCAAACCAAAAATAAGAGCAGAAACAATACTTTCACGCGACTGTTTATAAAAACGTGTATTATCTGTCTTTTTAATAAATCATATTTTAAGCTGTTTTAATTGACAATTTAAATTATTCTTCCAGAAAGCGTTAAACAGTAGTTTTTAAACCAAATCTATAACATTCATATGCTGCATTACCTAAATATTTTAAAATTGTAAACACATTTTTTTGCGGAAGGGGCCAATATCAGGTTATGAATTTTAATTAACTTAACCTTGCTGTTGTAAATTGTATGACGTCGCTGAAACTTTGTTTTCTGTTTTAGATTTGTATTGTTAAAAAGAGATTATTGATTTTGGTAAACGGCTTTCATTTAATAAAATTGTTTTACTATTTTGTAGTGCACACTTTTGTGCTTAACCCATTTAAGCAGCTTATACATAATTTAACGTGTACCCTCTTAGATTACTTGTTAATAATTTAATGTTCCCGCTGCATTACTTACAAAGTTCAACTTGTACCCTCTTAGATTACTTGTTAATAATTTAATGTCCCCGCTGCATTATGTACAAAGTTCAACTTGTACCCTCTTAGATTACATGTTAATAATTCAATATCCCTGCTACATTACTTACAAAGTTCAACTTGTACCCTCTTAGATTACTTGTTAATAATTTAATATTTCCGCTACATTATTTACAAAGTTTAAAGTGTGCCTTTTTACACTATTTTTAATAGTATAAAGTGGGCTCGTGGTCTGGTAGTTAGGGTGTCCGACAGTGAATCTGAGGGTTAACGATTCACGTCCCAATGCTGTCAAAACGCACTCCGCATTTTATGGCCGTGGGTGCACTATAGGAAGTACTGACAAATCTTACTATTCAGTGAGACAAGATAAGCCTAAGAATTAATGGTTAGTTCTGTTGACTATCTACCTTCCCTATAGTCTATTCTTGTTAATAAACTTAAAGCTAACCCTAAAACTCATGATGGGAATTAATCACAATGAAAGGTTTTAACTTGGCTTGTTGATTGGAGTACTTGCGAAAGCCTAAGAGCCTGGATTTTGTAAGTAAAGGCAATAAACCTATTCCCATGAAAACCTGCTGTCACTGTTTATAATAGAAGTAAATAACTTCCTTTCAAAATAAAGAAAAAATGAATCATTTCTTTTGTGAATAAGATCAAAATGTCAATTAGTAATGAAGACTTAAGACTGAATTCACTTTGTAAGACTATTGTTTTAAAACATACTTTATTTATTAATTCTCAGAATAAAACGCAACGAATATTAGTTCTATAAACAATGTGAACCGTTTTTAGATCAGTTTTCGAAATTTTTATATTATAGAAAGTGGGAGTGCGAAGTCTAACTACATAACATGTTTTCGCTAATGCAAAAAATACATATTTGTACCTTTTATGTCAAATATTGAAACAAAACTGTAAGCTCGTACATGAACAAGCGAGACGACGACCTCAAACAAGGACACACCCAAAAATCAAACTATAGCCCACATACCCCTTCTATTTGTCCTTTGTACTTCTAGAGCTCAAACGAGCGGATAAAACACGTGCAAGCGGAATATGACCTATTTCCGGAGGTTGTGACGCAAAATGTATGCCCCAAGGGTTATGTCACCCTCGTCCGCCCCCAATGTCCCAGGATATGAGTACAGATCAATAAAGCTTGCGTGCAATGAGCACGATTTTATGGGGGTGGCCTCGCGCTCGCCACGCGGTCTAAAGTTTTTACGGATATTGCCAGAAGGTTTATGGCTTGTAAAAGCCGCTCGCCCGCCTCCGTGCACTGTTGCCAGCAACATCCGCTGTACGTAATTAACAGTAACTTTCAATGGCACTATCCAACACGTACCGCGCATTCCCTAATCTCTTTCTCTTTTCTAGTTTGGCATTAACAATAAAGGGTTCGGTTTTACTTTAAAAATACTTCAGGAGATCTCTCGAGAAAAGCTTCTAATGAAACCAAGATACAACGTTATCGATAATTTGACGACAAACAAAACAAATATTATAATCACACACTGTAATTTTGAATACATATATACTGTGATCTTGAAATCGGACAACGAAGTTAATCTTCAAGTATACTCCTTGAGTCACACTAGCCATCTGGTATATTTCTAAACTATATTCACTTTAACAAAACTTAATATACATTTTCAATGTTGACATTAACAAAATTTAAAACACAATTCTAAAATACCTTCGCTTTTGCAATACGATATTCTCAAAACATATTTATTTTTTAAAACCTTTCTTTACATTTGATGTGCACTAAAAGACCCTAGACGTTGTGCAGACATACAAACCTAAAGCGGACTAAACACATAGTCCACACCCTGTAATTTTGATAAGCACAGCTCGCAAGGAACGAATAAATCTAATCAAAATAACCCAATATTCAACACAAATGTTGTTTTCTTCAGGACAAGCAAATGTGTTTATAATTTGGTTCTCTACCTCCCTGAGCCAGCCAAGATTTCGTTGTTAAAATATCCCACCCACCCCTCGTTCTGAGCACGAGTTCTCTTTTTCCAATCTTCTCTGCCTTTAAGCCATCGAATACGATAATAACTAAGTTACTACATACCTTAGATCATAAAGAAAGACTTTTGACCTCTAACCTTTAAATTATTTCATAAATAATAATGCAGGTTCACTGAGTATAACTTTAACCGATATATAGTTTTAAAGAGCTGTACAGTACCGTATTTTTTTAGATTTGTAATCTGAATTTAGAATAAGGAAATTGAGTACAAATATATTGGAATTATCATCTGAGATGATGTAGTAAGTTGTAGAATGAAAAAGATTGGGGAAGTTACGTAAAAATAGTTCTATTAATACATTGGGAAAACCTGAATAATGAGTGTTAGTTAATGGTTGAAGCAGCATTAAGTGAATTTCTCTTCTTATTAAATAAAATCAAACAGAGAAGTAAATGAACCGACAGTTAATGTAAACTTTCCCTGGCAGCTTCTACCAAACATGCTCGCCCTTTCAGCCTTGGGGGCGTTATAATGTGACGGTCAATCCAACTATTTGTTGGTAAAATAGTAGCCCAAGAGTTGGCGGTGATGACTAGCTGCCTTCCCTCTAGTCTTACACTGCTAAATTAGGGACGGCTAGCGCAGATAGCCCTCGTGTAGCTTTGCGCGAAACTAAAAAACAAATAAACTTTCTATCCTAAATTCCGAATCGGTCTTTGCTTCCCACCTGATAATGATCTTTTAAAGACCTTGAAAGTTTGTGATTGAAATAAAAAATCTTATTATGTGGTAAAAAAGCTTGTTAACACTTATTTAATTATTTCTATCCACCTACAAAAAATTACATTGAATAAATATTTATGTTGATTTTGTTTAAAACAATTGTGTTGATGTTAGTATGTTATATATTAATTCGTGTTGTTTTTTTTTTCTCCAGTGGGTAATTGGTGCTCCAGCCATCCTCACACACCTGTTCCAGTATCCATCAATAACACTGTGAATTTCGGCAGCAATGTATATTACAGTCGACTTGGTAATCTTCATAGCTATCGAAGCTCACCCTACCAACAACCTCATAAACGATCTGTTGTATCTCGACGTACGTACTTTAATGCAAACCAATTGTTATGGTGCGAACGCAAACACTGTGTTTGTTGTATCCCAGCCGGCTGAAAGGTCTCTGGATTGTGCGAAACGAGTCGCCAGTAACGGATATGACGAATACAGTGTGTTTGGAATACAACTGGTATACACTATTCTAATTCTTGAAAATCCTTAAGCGACTACATACAGATTGTAGTGTTTAAAAATATAATAGGCCTATCTTATGACAATTATAATTAATTATAATCATGCTTCGCCAGCTTGCAAAAGGCATTCACACCATAATAATTAGTGGTATATTGTTTTGATGTTTTTTATTAATGGCTCTTTGATTTTATTGCCAACAAGAGTGGTGTTCAATGTTTAGTATTCGAATCAATGCGAATAGATCGCTTTCGATCCCGGCCCGGCATGGCCAGGTGGATAAGGCGCTCGACTCGCAATCTGAGGGTCGCGGGTTCGAATCACCATCTCAATAGTGTTCCGACTAAGACTATGATAATCAAATTAAACATACAACTAACTCAGAATGTGATTTTTAAGGCAGGTAAATAAAAATAATATTGGGATATAAAATTGTTATTAAGTAAAGCAGCAAAACTTGGGATGGAAGGAAGATAGTTACAGGTTTTTTAACAATAGATCCTACAGACAGAAAACTTTAATTCTTTCATAGTCACGATTGATGGCTTTTTCTGGGTCACAATTTTCAAATTTTGAAATGTAATGCATACTTATTCCTCGTTACATATTGTGTGTGTGAGATTGTCTAAAATGTTGATGTTTTTCCACTATACAAAAGTTTTGTGTGTATTCCTGAATAAATACTTGTATAGTATTTCTTCTTTCTCACGATTTTGTACTTTCTACAGACTTGTGTCAAGTTTGATGATATTTTGGGTACATAGAAGAACATCTATTGTTAGGTTTTCTATTGTTTTTGTTAGTGTTTACATTCTGGCGTTCCTCTGTACATGTATTTTATCGGCGATCAATCATTTTTGATAGATAAGCATTTCTTATTGAAATTGATTTCATACGTTTCGGCTAAGCACTGATTAATTGCGAATCATATAATAAGATTCAGTGTCTGTATGTGTCACGTGACTAACTCCTCCTAAACCACTGGTCGCACCGACTTCTAAGTGGTACCAAACGAATCGTCGCGGTACCGAGATTTGCACAAAGGTAAAATTTTCACCACACTCCTTGGGGAACCCCGGGAATTCCTGAAAACCCCTTCTCTTAAGCTGCTGGACTCACTAACTTCTAAAAGGTGCCAAACAAATCGTCTCGACCTCTAGGTCTGCGCAAAAGTACAACTTTCACCCACCACTTAGGGAACCCGAGTATTACACGGTTTTCATTCATGGACATACCATAACCATTAAAGGTGTTTGTAGACAGTAGAGAATCATACAGTTTTTATCCATGGACATGCCAGAACCATTAAAGATGTTTGTAGGCAGTATAGAATCATACACAATTTTTACCAATGGACATACTAGAACCATTAAAGGTGTTTGTAGACAGTATAGAATCATACACAATTTTTACCAATGGACATACTAGAACCATTAAAGGTGTTTGTAGACAGTAGAGATTTATACACAGTTTTTATCCATGGGCATACTAGAACTATTAAAGGTGTTTGTAGACAGTAGAGAATCATACACAATTTTTACCAATGGACATACTAGAACCATTAAAGGTGTTTGTAGACAGTATAGGATAATGCAGTTTTATCCATAGGCATGCTGGAACCATTAAAGGTGTTTGTATACAGTATAAAATCATACACAGTTTTTATCCATGAGCATACCAGAACCATTACAGATGTTTGTAGACAGTAGAGAATCATATAACTTCTCTCCATAGACCATTAAGTATGTTTTAGACAGTACAGATTACTGTGTAGTTTTACATTTCTTACATAAATGGTAAACATAAAATATGTGATAAATGAAATTTCCAAGGACTGTAGGTCTTCTGTCCTTAGTTTCGACAGTGAGCAAGGGAAACTAATTTCTAAGCAAAGAAGTTTTTGATGTTCTTTGAAGACTTTGGAAGATATATGGTCCATTCAGAGTTCTTGAATATTCCTTCTATTTCATTTTTGTATGTAGACATTTTAATTTCCCCATGTGATAATAATTTTTTTATTTTAACTGCAAACTTTCAAGCCCTGGCAAAAAGTTCATCATCAGAGATAAATTAAAAGCTTTAGTGATTTCAACAATAGACAGTGCACACTGCACACTTATAAAGAGATGCTATCTGTGCTATCTGATATAGCACTATTATTTACAACAATACAAGCATAGAGCTAACAAGAAATTAGTAACAAACATCAAAATAATATATAATTAGATCAGAATTTTCGAAAACAGAAAGGCGTTTATTAAAGAACAACGTTAAGAATAGCTTGAATAGAATGATTAAGGATATATTTCACTGTTAACTTCTAAAAATGATCAGTGATGGGTTTTGTTTTCCCAGGGTACCATACCCATAGTATGGCTTTTTATTTTCAAATAGCTCTACTCACTTTGGTTGATCGGTTGGATTTGAATCTCATTTGAGGTTTCTGCTACTTCTACTTTAACTTGATGTTCTGTCCTGGAACAAAAACGAAATAATTTGTTTAAAACATACAGTAAAACCTTAACCAAATATATTTTAACAGAATGAAACTTGTAAAATGTTCTGTTAAAAAAACCAAGAAAGTAAGGCTTCTAAAACATTACGTAAAAAACTGCAATAAAACGCAAGTTGATGTAACTCAACGAAACGAAAATGCTATATCATTCTGTTAAAATTTTAATTAATGTAGAAACACATAAAACTTCATTAGCAAAGTAACAAATAGTTTAAAATATATATTAAATATAAGGAACTATAAATTAACAATGTAAAATATTTTTAATATTCTGTAGGTATTCTCAACAAAATGTATCCAGGTGATTTAAAAAATTAATAATCCATTCTTTGAATTTATCTATTATCACCTTTTAGCCTTTTTATTTACAGATTATATATTTTTGGTTCGTTCCTTAAACCATTTGCAAATCATGTCTTACCTTTCCCGGCCATCGAGAAAAGCTTTAGCAAAAGGATTATGTCTTATCTTCAGTGCTGTAACCTGAAACAATAAATACAATGCTTTACTTAAAGAAGATAAACTTGTTTTTAATTTAGAGTTACTGCTGACACGCGGAACGATTAAGGCTAATTTAGAAACGCATAAATGTCATCTTAACAATATATAATTATATAAAAATACGCCTAATAAGTTAGCTGTAAACATAAAACACATCAATAATCTTACTTTAAAAACACATTAAGAAAGCCTCAAGCGATAGAACACCATAAACAGTTTAAGAAGTTAACGTATATTTTCACATCAAACAACTCTTGATGAAGCCGCAATGGCAAAACATTCGCTGAAATAATTTTTTTTTATTATCTAGAAAGTAAAGGTCGTCTTATTTTTTGCCAAAAGAAATCTAATGAAGTAAATATATAAACAAAAAAACGAGTAAACCGTGCACCGATAACCATAAACATAATAGACACTGAAATAATAAACCCTATAAGGTAGCCATAGACAGTAAAACACAACTAAAAAATAAACCTAATAAACAAACATAAACTTAATAAAAAGGTGAACAATACATCTAACACAATAATCACAAACAAAAATACCCTGTTAAATAATATACTTAATGAGAATTGCAATAAATGAATCTAACTGTTCAGGTTATAAAATGGTAACGACCCCCAGTGGCACAGCGGTATGTCTGCGGACTTAAAACGCTAGAAACCGACTTTCAATACCCGTGGTGAACAGAGCATAGATACTGTTTGTTTGTAATTAAGCACAAAGCTACACAATGGGATATCTTTGCTCTGCCCATCACGGGTATCAAAACCCGGATTCTAGCGTTGTAAGTCCGCAGACATACCACTGTGCCACTGGGGGGCGAGAGCATAGATAGCCCATTGTGCAGCTTCGTGCTTAACTACAAACAAACAATATCTATGCTCTGTTCACCACGGGTATTGAAAGTCGGTTTCTGGCGTTTTAAGTCCGCGGACATACCGCTGTGCCACTGGGGGGCGAGAGCATAGATAGCCCATTGTGCAGCTTCGTGCTTAACTACAAACAAATAAAGTGGTAAAAAAGTCCTAGTAATAATCATTCTTTAGCTTGGGTTATGTGTTTCAAACATCAATACCGAAAATAATGCATCCAATAGGATAACATAACATACGAAAATTATTAACAAACCACAATAATCTTTCCTTTTTTTCAGTCCTATATTTTTTAACTTTTTAGCTGTTAGAAATATTGTAACGTAACAAGGAACTATAAGAATACAACAAGTTGTTGTGTTAAACTTTTCTTCTCATCCATATAATTCTCCTTTATAGTTTAATTTTTTATTTTAAATAAAAAAAGGATAAAGTTATTTTATATATTCGTTGAATATACCTATTCTTAAACAATATATACAGACAAGTACACAGAGTGGAGAATTGTACTAAGCTCGGTTAAAATCACACGAGAATAACTGTGAAGTAATAATGGGGAAATTATTCTTGCCTCTTCATTTTGATAAGCAGTAACAGCCACAAACTCGGCTTCTGGAAAGTTGAACGTGCCAACGTGCTGTCCGTCATCTTCTGTGGTTACCTTGACGATATGGACTCTTGGTTCGTATTTGTGAAGAGAATTTAGAACTATCTGAAAAATCCAATAACATTTGATTATCAAGTGTTAACGCGTGCACTTCACTGATTAACATTCGTATTTTAAAAATGTATGAATTCGAGTAAAAGTGTTCGTTGTCGTTGAAGTAGTACTTATTGCACCACATTTGATAAGGTAGATGTCATTAACCTGTCTGCTCAGCGCCATTTTAATAAATCTAGCTTTCCGGATTGACAATGTTCCGAAAATGTACTTTGCCAGCCTGCTTTACGTTAATGCAATTAACTTCTGGTAGAAGTTACTACATAATTGGTTGTCTGTTTCAAGTCTCTACAACTAACTTGATTAACTGTCTGTTTTAAATCTTTAAAATTAACATGATTAACTATCTGTTATAAAATATCTACAACTAACTTGGTTAACTATCTGTTCTAAATATGTAAAACTAACTTGGTTAACTATCTGTTCTAAATATGTAAAACTAACTTGATTAAATGTCTGTTCTAAACAGCTACAACTAACTTAGTTATCTATCTGTTATAAATATCTACAACTAACTTGGTTAACTATCTGTTATAAATATGTAAAACTAACTTGATTAAATGTCTGTTCTAAACAGCTACAACTAACTTAGTTATATGTCTGTTATAAATATCTACAACTAACTTGATTAACTGTCTGTTCTAAACAGCTACAACTAACTTGGTTAACTATCTGTTCTAAATCATTAAGATTAACATGGTTAACTATCTGTTCTAAATAGCTACAACTAACTTGATTTTTAAAAATATACTCCATCAGTGTTATGCCACTAAAACTGATATACTGTGTGAAATGTCGTTTGAACTTGAATGACATTGACTTAAGGCAGAGCAATTTAACAGTTAACCCTATATATATATACACATACATACATAGTTGACCTAATTTTTAGAACTGATAAAACTTTTAGTTCTTCTTCTCAAGTACGTAACTTTTTGTTGATATATTCCCACAATACATATACTTTATTGCGTACTGGGCTGCGTATCAGGATTCGAGATGTGATGCTGCTTAATATGCTTTGCTCTTTCAGCTGTGGGAAAGTTACAAAAGTGACTGTCAATCTCGTTGTTCGTTTCGAAGAATTGAACAAAGTCCTTATGGCGACGGGTGCTGTTAGCCGGTTGCCTTTACTTTAGTCAGTGTAGATCAAAATTAGGGACAGCTATATCTGAATCCTAGGCGTATTTGAGCCGGCAGTTTAGTTCAAGTGCACAGGTTATAAGTTCAAATTCCTTTTTTACTGCAGTTATCACAACAATAAACATACATTTCACATAGAATCTCAGGTTTTTTTAAATACACAACTTCAAAGTTAATTATGATATCCAGCGGATGAAAGAAAACATAAGGGTCCAATCCGAACATAGACCCCCTGTACCACTCCTCCAGGGGTGGGGACCAAGTGTACATGCCATGTTTAGTGGAATAGCACAGGGATGATATAGGAGCTCCCGGGAAGGGACCTTTTATCATATTTGATGAGGAGGAACCCACTTTGAGACTAATAACGGTTGGAGACGGCTTGAATGGGTAATG